AAGGTGGCAGAAATTAGTCTCGAAAGCCTGCTCACTACGACTCATTTGGGGCTGGGATTTGAAGGTGGCAGAAATTAATCAGTCTCGAAAGCCTGCTCACTATGACTCATTTCGTGGATGTTGCAGGATTGGATGCCAAGTCCGAAAATATGGTTATTAGCCACGTAAACGATGAAAACTGATGATTACGATGGCACACGACCAATCCCACTATATTCACGTGGCTACGAAATGATGATTTGACAGGCAGCAGATAACTTTTATAACCTATTACTTCTTACTACTTGTGAGTGGTCAGTAGTGTACTCAGACAAAACGTTCAATGAGCTACCACCATGAACGATACAGTGAAACTTGGGTGGGTGAGCGCAGATAAACAGTTATGCTAGCTTTGCATGTCTTATATAACAACCTTTATCAGACAATTACTGATGTCATCAAATAAACACTCCCGCCTGGATAAGCTAATCGGTAACTGTACCGAGATGGGAGTGATCGGTTCTAAGTTAACCCAAATGCGCTCCATCTTTGTTTATCCTGTGATCACTAACCCAAATGAGAGTGATAATCACAATCGCAATCATGAGTGTATCATAGACTAGATCCACAAACACTGTATAAGTCGAGTGCAGCCCAGAAACATATCATCATTCGGACCAATCAAGCGGTCTTAGCGTCGTTTTTTTACAGTTTTCGTGCATAGAATGATGTTTTTGGATCTTTGCGTAGCCTAGGGATCATTAGGTGCAAGTGTGTTGTCTCGTCAGTATCAGAACCAGGAACATGAGCTGGCACCGACAGGACAATTATCATCTATCTGTATCCGTGTTTTCATTTTGTCATTCAGACTTATAGTGGGAAACTACTCCTTTAAATTTCTGGCTAACTCTCTATCAAAACTGATCGAACCAAACACTCTGAATGACATTATTTTGAAATCTGCACGCTGCTTAGGTTGACCGATAAAAATTGAGAGGAACGGTTTGCCTTAGTAGCCTTTGAACACTATACAAACGCTGTGCAGTTGAGAAGCTGGCTTCAACAATTTGGGGCAGATGTCGTCTCATTAAAAGGTAAGTACCGATTCTGCCTCCTGGTCCATTTTTTACGACTGTTTCAGTTCTCGCATGAAAATGGGTTATTTTTGCTCGCGTGGTTTTATACAACCACAAGAAGGACCGTTTGAAGTAATTCTGGACAACTCTTTTTCGAGCAGAACCAACCGAAACTCAGCCAGGTGATGCGTCAACCAACCAACGAGTTGGTCCGCTGACTGAAAAACGAAGCGGACGAAAACTAGTGACAGGCTGCGACCAATATCACCGGTGAGATACTGCATGTCTCGACAAAGTTATGGAGTGGATGCATAAATCATCAAGCTCCTCTCTTTACAAGAAGCAAGTCGTTCAGCTGTAACACCCTTTCGACGCTTAACTGCCATGCCACCCGGAGGTTGCACGAGGGCTGGGATACTGCCAGGTTGCCCAAGCCTAGACGGGAGAGTCGAGAGGCAGAGGTCGGGTTCGAACCACGGACCTTCCGATCAGTAAATTCGCGCTCTAACCACTTGGGCCGTCTCGCCCCTCTTTACAAGAATCACCGCGAACAAAAAGCAGCTTTGTTGATTCGCAGCTCTTTTACGTCCTAACATAAGCGACAATTGTATGGAAGAAACACAATTGAGGCAGCATTTTTTAGAACATGAAGACTGCATGTCAGTAAAATCATCTAGTAATAATCTAGTAAGTCGCCCGGTAAAAAGTACTCTAACTCTACAGAACAGCATAAAGGTAAATCAAATTAACCCCAAGCTTTGTTTGCCACCCTGAATTTACTTCGCTCGCTAAATGAATGAGAAACCAGACGGAGATCTGGCATGTGGTTGTTGGTATGCGATTGACTACAACTTAGCCTGTGATTTAAACAACTGCCAGTCCACAGGATCTCCTAAAAGATCAACGTGACCATCTTCGGGAATTGGAGCACAACAGTCGCCAGAATGTGTATTTTGGCATGAAATGAAGAAACGGTGAACTGAGGTCCAAGTTGCCATGAACAGAACGGTTTATCTAAGAAAATGTTTTATCTGAAAGCTGAGAGAAAAGTCCTCGCACACCTGTGAATCTCAGCGTTCTTTTTTTAGAAAAAATCGAAAATAAATTTATTTACTGGATATGGCCAGTCCATATTTTCCAACTTCTTGTTTTATTCTGGGTTTCCATCGGGGCGTATCTGTGACTAAGCTTAGTCTCAAAGCATGAATCGATATGAGTGACAATGAGCGGTGTTTCTCCTGAAGAGGGATTGCTATAAGCAACCACTGTACACAAAAATGATCATTTTCAGAGTGCCTTAGAAGCAGCATCCCGGTGGTCATGTGAAAACGTTGCGGAAATTTTATACCCGAATTTCTTAAGTTGTGAAACCCTGAGGTGGACATCATACCTGGTTTTAGACTCCTCATGGCCAAATCTCACACACATGTGCGAGTTGTGATGCGGGTTGTTTCGTATTATGTGAATATGTATGTATGTGATACCAAGTATAGTCACGTCGGACAAGAGTGAATGACAGGAAAACTAATCGTGATTACCGGGATATGCCATAATTGAAACGTCGTTATTGTAAGAGCCAATCGGTTTGATATGAGTAGGACCAAGTTACCTCAGTTGAAAGCATGGACCAGTAAATATGTTCTGTGCGAATAAGCACGGGTTTACACGTGAATGCCTTTTAGAGGGACGTTTATGATGGCCAACGAATAATGCAACCACTCTGTAACCTCTGTGGGACTCGCACTGCGTGGTTGTTACGGCAAGATATTAGCGTTTCATCGGTCTCGACGTGTAGACTTGGGCCGCCGATAACTGTTGGAGTCTGCAAAATCCGCCAGGCGCAAACTCCGCGAAGAAAGTTCTTCTAGTCAACAGCGGTCATGTAACTAGTAGACAATTCCTCTGAGCAGAATTTGATTTTTGCCAAATTTTTGGACCAGCAATAAATGAATAGAATTACCGTCATAACCCCCATCCTAGACTGCTCTAGCCAACTTCCCTTTAGAAGACCGATTTCTCGCCGACACTGTCGAGCACCTCCACCTGTCAGAAATAGTTGAAAGTGTCATTTGGTGGCCATTGTTGATTTAAACGTTGCTGATGAATCACTCCGTGGCTTTGCAAAAAACCTATTGGCGTCTCTTTGCACAAAATGAGTCTAGATGCGGATAAGGAATCGCTTTCATCAAAAAAAGGTCAAGGTTGTGTGCGTACATTAAATTGGAGCTGGAAAAAAGTGGCGGGACTTATCTGGAAAATATCTGATATCTCTTATGGCGACCGAACTGATAGGACGCTGGTACTCTCTTGCTCATATGCATGTGAAAATTCATTTGCATCACCATCTTTGCTGGGGATTGTTGAAGCAAATTTGATTGTGGAACGATTCGTGATTTCAGTTTGCTCCTGGAAATATCAATCCACCTGTGTATCAAAAGTTGGACAATGATTTAATCGATGTAATAACAGATAAAGTGTTGTAGCAAAGTCAGATAACTTGATTGGACGGAAATGTCGTACACATCAGATACACGTATCCTTCTTTCAATCTTTTGAAACAAGAGATTGGAATGAGACCCCCAAAACCCGGGGGAAGATTGTCCGATAAAGTCAGCAGATTTATTGATCGGGTATACAAGCCTCCCAACACTAGATAGCACCAGGTACGGTAAAACTAGGATAAAACTGGAGGACAACCGAGCCTGCTGACCAAGCATCATTCTCAGATGTAGGTCACTCCTTTTCCTGCGAGTAAACAGCATGCAGCCGATTTGAAGATGGCAACAGAAAAGAAGGGAGACCCATTAAGTTCACGAGTGACTTTGAGCACGGGCCTAGGCAACGTGCGAATATTCCACCCCCTGAATAATGCTTCAAAATCCAGAAACTCGAATCCACTAGCATATGCAATCAAACCTGTTTGTATCGGTTGTGATTTGGTGGCAGTTCTTGTCTGGTAATTTTACGGATAGAGTAATATTGGTATTAATATTGATGGAGTTGTGAACTGGACTGAAGGCGATCCGGCCCTAGTTAAAACTGAAGCACCCGAACAGGTATTTTTACTCCTTACTGCATTCAAATACAGCCGACCCTCTTTAACGAGAGAGCATGTTCAAAGCTGATCACCATGGAAGAGGCTATCTCTCTGAGGAAACCAGTCTACACTGGTCCCTGCAAGTGACCTTCCTGGGGGGAGACAACTATATTGATGTGTACCAGGTTATACGACCCTGACTCTTTCGTGTGGATGGGATGACAGCGGTAGGATAGACGAGGTCAGTTCGAGCCACTTGTGGATGGGATAACAGCGGTAGGATAGACGAGGTCAGTTCGACTGCAGAACGCTGCATCCGGTACGGAGTGAGTTATTGATTTGTTTGGATGAGTAATCGGCAGGTGACATTAATACCGCCGCCCCGAACCGGATCTTCCCCGCCGAAAGTGGCATACGTTGTGCGCGATGAAGGCTGAGTTCATGAGTGAATCCGCCTTTGACATGATGGCGTTTATAGACATGAGGTAAGCGTATGGAATTAAGCTACCGACTGATGATCGTTTCCAACATTATATGCACACAGGACTGTAACTGTGGCACAGAATGTGTGAATGCATTGAAGTAAATATTAGAATTTTACTGGACATTTTCGATCCAAATTATATCGTCTTGTTAGATGTAGTCACTCTGAACTTCTTTGGGACACCTTATTGCAATCAACGCCTGTACGCGCCGGAACATAGTTACCAGTTCATTTTCTTGAGGTTCGACCGGCAAAACAATATTATAACACAGAGTCGGGGGGTGGGTTACAAGACCAGGTGTACAATTTGTTTGTTCTGTTCTACAAAAGACCACAAAGTGACTGCTTCTGCTGACCGGGGTCCAAGTGAAAGCACACTGATTGATCGGTCGGTCTATGAATTTCGTGAAACGCTGTTATAGCGATGCCGTTCCTCCCCAGCGATTGCACCATCATTGTGGTTCTACTGGATATGGATTTATTGCGGTTTTATCCTTCCCTGGTAAAGAATGGTGGCATTGGTCTCAACCGAATCGTCGTTGCTGGTGAGTGAACCACTAAGGTGACCCTTATTTAGAGGCTGATTTTATCATTCTACTGAAAATGAATACTCTTAGAAAGACGGCTGCTGTAAAAACATCCCTAAATCGCTTCAAAACGGAATGTTCAAGTCAGAAATATCGCAAATTCTGTTTGCTGATCCTTTCACATGATTGCTAGATTGAACAGCTTTTGAGAGATTTTCTCCATTATACGGCGTGTATCGTGCTAAAGCCGGTGATTCCCGGCTAGATGCCTGTGGCTTTAGTGACAATGGCCTTCTCTAACACGCACATGACCAAGATAGAGAAAACTCAACGTAGGAGTTTAGTATCATGATGTTTATTCAGAGGTGGGTTTGTATATCCGGCCTTTGTTTAGAGTCGGGTGTTAAAATATGGCTGCAGGGATCGGCAGTCTGGTAGTTGATTGGATCGAAATTGCGCTGAAATTAACAGGATGTGAAGGATATAGAAGAGGACGGGTTATAATGTCTTGAAACCCTGCGGAGCATATAGGTGCGAAACGATAGGCAAATACAGCAAACAAATAAACACAAGAGCGGAATTAGGGCACAATTTAGTAACCTATTAGATGGGTCAGTCTGAAACCAAAGATAAACCGAATTCAAGGGAGGGAGTCCTGAGAATATGCATCATTTCAAAAAATGGACGATGAGTGAGTGCAAGGGAAAAGTTTGTCTTGTCGTGACGATAAGAACCATAAGACATAGGGGAGAAAATGATCTATCATGCAGATCAAGTTTCTGGTCTCATTGTCTTCATTCGTTTTTGCGGCTGTCACAGGTCAGCACATGCGGTTGTACACTCAGCTGACTGGTCCAACGACCAAACCTGTCGGGGATAGTGTGCCAACACTACAAGTGATATCAGCCATTCAGTATGAGACTCAGCAAGAAAATGTGGGTTGATAGCAATAATTTTCGTGATGTTTTCTGTTCCTGGGATCCAGAAATGTTTCCAGCATGGTTCTGTCGGTTGTGCTCATGGCAGAAGATCCAAGTGAAAAAAACCATGTCAGAGAGGTAGTTACGTACGAAGTTATTCTATGGCGGAAAGTACACAATCGCTGATCATAGGTTTACCGTCAGATCTCTATTGTTTTAAAAGCGTTAGCTTGGAATTGCCATACGACGTTTACATGAAAAGCATGTGTTAATAGCGAAAAAATGCGTAAATCATCCATATGAAGAAGGCCCATAACAACGTTCCACGTCAGTTGCGATTCAGTGCACGATTTCCAGAATGGCTACCGTGCAAGATCCAGTGCTCTTTTCCCTAGTGGTAGTGGGGGATTAATTTACCAGATTCACAGCCTTATTAACTCAGACTATTATGTTGTGCACAGAATTTCCTCTGTTGAACGTGCGACCTAGTTGCATAACGAAAACTGTTTTCTACGCCGATATCGGCGCACTGCAAAGGCGAATCTTTTACCCGAGAGTGGTCCCGTTAACCATGAAAATAGCTCTTGAAATTTACGATGGTAAACATCCGACGGGACCCATTTTCGATCAGATTTGCTCCGACTGTCCGGAACAACCCTAACGCCACGGTGTGGCAGCCATCCTGAAACATACCATCACATGGCGCGTTCAAGGTCGAGCCCATTCACGACTGAAAGATAGGCAGCGTGGGCGTTTGAACGAATCAGAATGCAGAAGAGCCGGACACGACACGGATGCCTCTGATTGATTGATTCAGTCAACCGAGAAAATCAATGCGAACTGCAAGGCGTGTTGGTTAAGTCGACGCGCACTGCTAGTCTGCGCTGGGAAGACGTCACAATCGTCAGGTAAATTAGGTTACTCTAAGCCAAAAAAGGAAATTAGGATGTACTTGGGTTTTGCGACAAGCGGGTTGTGTAGGTCTGGATACATGTCAGTAAGCGGGACAAGGCCATGGATGCACATACAAGCTACACCAAGAAATTGGAAGTGCACTACACAACAGAGGAAAATACTCACACAATGTTAGAAAGTAAGGAACAATAAGAATACAGAAGACGTTATCGCTTCACATTGTAATACAGGATGATTGTCAGTGGTGGGTAGCCGTGAGCAGGTTTGTGTTGGCGTGTATCGCCGCCAAAAATACCTTTGAATGGATTGACAGGGCATATAAAAAAGGACTTGTGGTTCCTTGAGAGAATTCCCTTAATACCTTCAACGGCTAGTCTTTGAGTGCGTACCAGAAAAGACGTAAAGGCTGTTTAATAACGCTTCTATCGCACACGAGGTTTTTCCCCACAGAAGGACTACCGAATGTAACAAAACTTGCCCTGTTTGCACATTAGAGCATCCCATGTCGGCATTTTCGCAGTACATACATAGATATATGGAGAAACACCGTTCAGCGGCATACATTTCCATAATCCATCTCTGAAAGCACAAACGATCCAACTGGAGGGATGCGAGATCCAAATTAAGAAAACTGAGCTAGAACTCGAGGTGGTACAAGCTACCGACCGGGATGTCCGTATTCCGAACCTATTCCACCCGATCGAATGCTGCTTTCCACGCTTCACAGGGCTGGGAATATCTCACTCCTCACGTTCCATTCGGACTGTATACCGTTGGGCATAAAGAACCCGCAGTTGATTTTTTGAAACTAGAACCAGTATGGATCAAGTATCGTATGTTTTCCTCAAGCTGTCCGACGCACGTATTACCAAATTCTTGTAGCGCGGTTCCCAATTTCTAGAAGTGAGTCACCTTGCTTGAAGCTACCAACTGATTAGCCACCCATTTCATCTTTCATGCTCACAGGTCTCTGAGCTCTATTCCAAACAGGTTCCACAATGAGCCACTGAGAGGTACCTAAGTTTAGTCGATACACTCTCGCGAAAACGAGATGGAATGTTAGCGTCAATCAGAGATTGCTACTAGGTGACACAACCTATCTCAAGATGAGATCGAACTGCACTCACTGGCTGCGATAATTCGGAAGCTCGAGTGGTTCCAACCTTTAAATGACATCTTAACTGACTACTGATCTATTCGCCGAGCTTGGAAATTAGCCTCCAAACTGAAACTCGTAACCGCGTACTGACAATGTCTCTCCGTATGGCGACAGAACCTTTGTAAGCTAATTACCAAGCCCAGCGGATAGATCAGCTGCCACCTGGTCAACAGTCAATTAACGCACCTGAGCTACCAATATTTCGGTACGTTGCCCATATTGCATCGTACACAATTTTTTCAGAGGCGTGTAACTGGGGCGATAAATGTATGCACATTATGCTATCCGATGAGGGCTTGAGCAGCCTATACTTCGCAGTTCTCAGTCAGCAGATAACTTGTAATGACAACTAGATATCCGTTTCCCCGAATGACTACTCGTAAAGTTGCTGAAAACCCCTAGAGGGTACACAACCGGTTTCGTCCTTCTTCAAACTCATCATGAAGGCACAGTCACTATCTACTTGAGCTCAAACTGTACGGAATTTGTGAAATACACTCAGTTGTGTACCAATCTGGTTTTAGATCTGTTTCGCTGGAATAGGAGACAAGCTTCATCGAGTCGAATGAAAAAGGTGGGCCACTCAACTCACTCGAAAACCATCAAAAGGATAACTGACGGATCTTGAGACTTACGCCCGAATTGCCACTCGTCCACGCTGGCTTACGGTCGCACACCGGAAGATGTCAAGTCGTTGGATCGGAACTGGTCCAGCTTTCTGGAGTCGTACCTGACCACAGTTCCAAATGTCGCTTTGCTATTCGCCCCCTAGTGTTTGCCGATACAGTAATAATTGTCCCTCCACATTGTGAAAATCTCCGTGACTACGCTCGTTCAACATAATCCGGTACAGTTGCGACTGCATAAGCGCAGTAACATCATCATCATCGACAGCATGACATCAGTGTTCAACACCGATGCTTCACTGCCGTACAACCATGACTTAT